TGACAGAAAGTATACTTTGCTGTACTCTGGGTTGCAGATCTCTCCTCTTTCCCTGCCCCTGTACTTTCTACTTTATGGTTTGCATGGCAAGGTTTTGGTAGCCGGAGTGGCTTCTGTGAGAAGCTGCCAGATGTCTGCCAGATCCCTTGTGTCTGATTCAGCCAATGCCAGTTGGCTCAAAGATGGACCCAGCACTGGCCAAGGCCACACCCAACAGTGATGGTGGTGGCACCTCTGGGATAACAGATATAAGAAAGGGAAGAAGAAAACTGCCCAACTGCAGCTGGAGCGAGGAATATGTGAGAGGGGGGAGGAGATACAGAAAACTGGGAGCAAAGAGCCTGGGAAGAGGGAGGATGTAGGGAAGGTGTTTCAAGATTTTAGTTTTATTTATTTTCTTGACCCATGAGCCTTTTGTTTTATTTTCTTTCCCCTAGCTAGCTGAGGAGGGCAGTGACAGAGGGACTTTGGTGGACACCTGGGATCCAGCTTGGGTCAACCCATCATGCCTGACCAGTGAAGCTCTCAGTACAACCCTGCCCTTCTTGCCCAGTCCTGTGCTGCTGCTGGGGCTGGTGCTGCTGCCCTTCCTCCAGCATGCTACTGGTGATACTAAAGACTTAGTCACTATTTTAGGAGAACTAAAATATGGTAATTAGTTACTTCATGTGTCTCTTTACCCTCTCTCACCTTTGCTGTGCAAATAGCAAGGAGGAAATTCTCACCCCAGTGAATCAAAATGGCAAGGGCCTGTGTGCTCTCACCCATGTGTGCCTGTGACATTTGAAGGACAGCAACAGGAGCACGGTGACTTTTGGCAAAGAAAAAGCAAAAAGCACCAAAATGTTTAGCATTGTAAATGGTGCTAACTGGGACATGAAAGCACTGCAGCAGCTGTGAGTGCAGCAGAACATCCTCCTCACCCCCATCCCTTCCCACCTGGGCAAGAGGCAAGGAAGGAAGCACTGCAGGAAGCTGAGAACTTGAAAGGCAAATGGTGACTAGGCTGAAAGGCAGAGGAGGAGTGGACTGAGAGGCTTTCAGCTGTGAGGGGAGCATTTTAAGCATGAGGAGCATGGGGAGAGCTGGCCTATGAGCTACTGTTTGCTTCTTGGGTAGTGCTTCACAGGGAAACAGGGTGATGGATTGTGAGCTTATTCCCTTTCTGTGGGAAAAGGACTGGAGCAAGGGTGTATTATGGTGTTACTTCATGTACTTGATATAAAGGATACCTACTGCTATGGTGCCTTTAAAACCTGTAGCCTCAATCATGCTGCTGTTACTGTCAAATGCTATGTTCTTTCCATGAGGCAGCACTGAGAAACCTTCCTGACAGCTTTCTGGGAGGATGTAAATTCTCTTCATCTTCCCCAAGAGTATCTGCTGCACAGGAAACCTTCTGTTTTCCTACTGCATTGCCTCCCTTTTATTTTGGAAGATACTGAAACAGTTTTAAATGTTTTAATATTTTTGAAAGGCTCTGTACTAGGCTGTAGCTCATTTGGAAAATTCTGTATTGTTTGCCCTGCACAAGTCCTGGCACAGAACCTCAAGAAGAGAACTGAGAGGGGTCCAGAGTGTATTAAGATCTGATGTATCCAAATAACTGTTCTGTCCCTCTTATGTGTTCCTTCCTACTATGTTTTTATCTCTTTTATATCCACCTTTGATGCATTTGAGCTGTGTTTTTCAGGACTTTCTGACTTTATTATAAGCAGCAAAGATGATAGTTTCTTTTGGGAGGTTAGGAGGGCAGGCAGTAATGGGAAGCTGTAGGATTCACTTTGGTTTTCCCAGAAAATTTTTAAGGTAGAAAACGTACAGTTTGAAAGTGGCTGCATATCTCCCACTGCTGTTATAATGAAGACAAATGCCAGTCTGAAGTGCTTCATAGGCTGTTTTTTTTTGTGTGTGTGAAAGGATTTATGTGGTTGGTGTTTTGTTCTGGGGTGGGTTTTTTTGGGGGTTTTTTGGGGGTTTTTTTTGGTGGTTTTTTTTTGTGTGTGTGTGTATGAATGGAGATGGCAACTATCAGTAATATAATTTCACAAAAAGCATAAAATGCCTGTTAAATTCCACTCTCTGAGAATGAAACATAGCTACTGCCAAATGCAGGTGGGATTTGGCTTTTATTTGCTCTGCCATGGTACTTGCATATTTGAGGTGAGCCAGATGCAAATGGAAATAGCAAAGTGTAACGTGTTAACTGCTAAGCTTATTAAGATACAGGGTGTCAAAATTTTCAAAGTACCTTAAGTATGTTGGGGCAGTAAAACTGGCACATCTCTGCTGTTCTTGAACACAACGAGGTTTGTTTTTCCCATCATCATCCTACCAAAACGCTTCACTTACAGGCTTCTGCTGGTACCCAGGATAGGATAGGCAGCACATAAATAAGTTTAATTTATCCTCTGTTAGTCAGGGGTAATTCCCTCATGACCATGAATCTGCAGTGGTTTGGATTATTCGGCGAGGTTTTTACAAAGACTGGAAATACAGCTAGAAATATGAAGCTAGCCCAGGGGTATAAGGTGTGTAAGAACCTTCAAATACATCTAATTACTATCTGGAAAACTCTCTACATTACTGTATAAGTGACTTAGGTAGTCCAGGCTTTACATTGGAAATAGATCTAATTTAATTTTAACTCTTCCAGCTTCATATTAAAATAGAAACAATTTCCTAATAGTTTATTGGTGTTGCTTCCTTACTCTTCACTTTTCTGGCCATATTCTTCACTTTTTCTGATTCTCAGGACAAACTCTTATGTTGTAAAGAACTTCTCAGAGCCTCAGTGTTTCAAGCTCTCACAGTTGTGTTTTCCTCTTTGTCTAACAGATCAGTCACCAAGTAAGACTATGCAAACTGAAACAGGTTTAACTATCCATTTTACTCTTGGAGTTTAAATGAGCTATTTAGTGGCTCTAATCAAGAATACTCTCAGGAGAAAAATCTTTTCACTTTTTGTAGTCAAATTATGGATTTTAAAGTCTGTACCATGTTTTCCAGGGGCTCTTCAATAACTGAGTCAGGTGATGAGATAGAGGTGAGCTTGTAGGCCTTGTCTGAAACACAACACAAACCTCAAATGGAACTTATACTTCTCATTGCAAGGCCCCGTTTGTTTTATCTCCACTTTTTCCAACACTGCCAGATGTATACTGAATTTAGAGAGCATGTTCACAGCATGTTTGTGCTTCAGAAGTAATGCCTGAAAGCTCCAACACATCAGTAGGGATGGGGCAAAGACCAGATTTACTCAAGAGGATCACGAAACAAAACCAGTCTTGCATCTTTTTATTGTGAGGCAGTGATTTTGCATTGGGTAAAGTAAATATAAAATTAAGAAAACACCTAGAGGTATTGAGACAACTCTAACATCTTCTGCGCAGTCAAATCAGCCTTTTAATTAGTTCTGCGTTTGGGACTTGTAAAGCCTCAAATAAAGGTTTGAGTATGAGCATGTGTTGTGAAACCATTTTAGACTCCAAAGTTGTAGAATTTCACTTGACTTTCCCAAGTTCCTCACTCCTTTGAAAAATTACTAAACTACATCTGCGTGATGTTGTTTAATGTTTTTCTTGTCATGCATCCTTACTATTCTATCCCACAGGGATGTTGTGAAATACTACCTACAGAATATGAAATGGTGGTTTTGGCGACTGTTGGATGTCCGTATGTATTTGCTGCATGATACAATCCTTGTGGAGCATTTTTGCTCTCCGCACAGTGCGTATCGTTAATTAACGCCTCAAAGGTGTGCATAAATCTGTGGGTGGCTGTAACAGCTTGTGGAAGTGGGAGCATGTGAGAGGCGCAGTTCGGCAGCCTGGGCGGCCCTTCCCGCAGAGCATGTTTCCTGCGCGGAGCGGATGTGCAGGCCGGCTCTGCGCGCCCAGCGTGAGTACCAGCCCAGGGAGCGCAGGGGCTCCGTGCCCCGCACGACGCACCGCAAACTTCTGTGGAGTGCACGCAGGGCCGCCTCAGCGCCTGCCGCCTTCCCGATCTCCCGGGCAGGGTTCTGCCCCTCGGCGGCTGCACACGGGCCGGGCCGCTCCGCACCCCTCGGCGTGCGCCGGGACACACCTGGGCCCGGGCGCCACCGGGGTGGGGCCGCTCGCGGCGGGCCCCGTTGGCCCCGCTTTCACAGCCTCCGCGCGGGCCCGGGCGGAGGCGGCCGCGGGGAAGCGCCGGCTCCCGCCGGGCCGAGCCACCCCGTTCGGTCCCGGCTCGGGCCGCCCCGCCGCGGGGACCCGCCCGCCGGCTCCGGGGGCCGGGCCCGGGCCCCGCGGGGCCCGCGCCGCGCCACAAACTACAACTCCCGCCGGGCACCGCGCGGATGGGCGCATGCGCGGAGGCGGCGCGGGCGGCCAAGCGAGGCGCGCGGCGATTGGCCGCGGTGGCGGGGGGCGGGGCGCGCGCGGTGACGGCAGGAAGGAGCGGGGGCAAATGGCGGAGAGATGGTCCCGGGGCCCGTCCCGAGCGCGGCGATAATCCCGGCGCGGAGGAAGCGGCGCCGGAGGAGGCGGCGCCGGGGGCCCTGACGCCCGCGACACCCCGGGAGGGTCCCGCTGCCGGAGGGGCGGAGGCGTCCCGCGGGCTGAGCGCCTTTCGCAGGCGGCGCTTCGGCGGCCCGAACCCGCGGCCGGAGCCACATCGGCCGGGCCCGCGCCCGGCACCGCCGCCACCGCTGACGCCGAGGTGGGTGCGGGGTGAGGGGGCGGCGGGGGCCGAGCGGGCCGCGCACCCCGCGGGCTGCAGCCGCCGCCGGGCCCCCGGCGCTGTCCCGCCTGCAGGGGCGTGCGGGGCCGCCGCCCCCGGCCCGGCGCGAAGTTGCGGGGCGGGAATTGGCTCGGGCCGGCGCGGGGGGGTGCGGCTCCGCGGGCCGCGGCTGCCCCGGGCACTTGTGTAATGTGGGCCGGTGGGGCGGCGGGGCGGGCGAGGCGGCCGCGCGGGACGGGAAATGACATCAGGGAGCGGCGGGGTGACCCGGTTCCGCTCGCACCCCCACCCCCCCGCCGCAAGGGGAGGGAGGAAAAAAGAAACTGTCACCGTGGGATTTCATCAGCTCCTTCTGCCTCCCTGCATTTACCTATTTTTCTTTCCTTCGATTATGTAAGAGGAGCGGTGTAGAGAGGAGCGATGAGTAGGGGTGGCCGATGGGCTTCCTGGGGAATTACCGGGTTTTTTGTCCCCAGCTGGTCCGCCGAGTTAGCGCTGGGAAAGGAGAGAAAACTGTGGTTTTTGGGTTTTACGTGTCTTTACGTTGCTTGTATTGCTCCAAATGGTGCAGCACAATGCAGGCGAGGGAGGCAGGGAGCGGAAACAGAGTGAGATTACACCAAGTGTTTTATTTCCGTCTGAGAGAAAAATCAAGAGAAAATTGTGAGTAAAGAGAAAAATCCTGTTCTGTTGATGCTCTCGTGTAAGAAAGCACCTCTTTATGCTCTTAAATCTAAGATATAAGAGTATAGCATAGAGTATTTATATTTTCCTTATACTTTTAACCTGTGCACATTATATTGAGTATTAATTCGGGTTTTGGTGTTTTGATTTAAAACTTATGAGATGAACATAATTTTAAAATTTATAAATAAGAAAATGGAGTTTACTTTCTGAAAATTAACTCCTCTTGACTACAGGAATCTTCCCTTTGGAACTGCAAGCCCCAAGCTATACTTTAAATTTGTCATTAGTTTGCATAGGTTGGGAACATAGTATCAAAAATACTTGTCTGAGTGCTTCTTATAGTACTTATTATAACTAATACTTACTTGAGTCTTGAGGGTGTAGGGAAGGAAAATATGCTGGTGGTCAGTGAAATGGTTTTTTCTTTCCTGTAAGTTGTTAGAAACTGAGATATTAGTAAATATTTTACTTCAGCTTCTACAGCTCAAAAACCTGGCTATTCTGGTGTAAAATATTTTGGTTGCTGTTACAAATATTTACAAGCATCAGCAAAATAAAACTGGTAATTTAGATTTTGTTTGCTGTTTGCTTTCTAAACTATGTGTAGATAGAAAACACAAAATTGGAGCTCCATGCAGAGGAGAAAGAAAAGGAGTTTGGCAGTGATATGTGTGTGGAAAAGAGGAGGTGGGATTCAAGAGCCCTGTCTCCTAGGAACAGCCAGGAGCCCTCTGAAGAGTGGCTTTTGCAGCAGAATTCTGCTCAGCAGATGAGCACCTGCCTTTACCCTCCCTCAGCTGCACCACGGGGGAAAAGAGCCTTTCCCAAAGTGGGTATTCCTGTAGCTCTTCTGCATTGCATCACCATCCACCTGGTAAACTTCTGAAGTTCAAATGTGATCATTTTAATGCACTTTAAATTTTCTCCATGGGTTTTCTCCCCGTGAATTGCTTGGTTCCAATGGTAAGTGAAGGTTGGTCTGGTCTAATAGAGGGGAGACTATTATAGTGAGACAGTATTGCTAGAATGAAGTGATAGAGGGACATTTCTGGAAGGCAGTCTGGCAATTTTGGCAGAAGCAAGACTGCCACTTCAGGTTGAGAAGCTGTGAGTGCTGAGATGAAAACTAAAATAGGAATGATGGTATGTCACATATTCGGGGAGTAATAATAAAAACAGTTGTATTGAACAAATAGATCATTATAAGTCCAATAAAATTATTTTAACTGCCATTTTTCATATACTTTATATGAAGTTAGTTAACATTTCAAAAGTTAGATTTCTTTGATTCTGTACCTTAAATAACTGTCTTTTTTAGCAGACTTTTTTCTGGTATGGAGAGGTATTTCAGAGAGAAGGATGGAATTGATTAGATTCAGGCTGACTATAAAGAATTGCAATTTCCTATCCATGTTTGGGCCAAAAAGAGAGAAATAGTGGTTCACAAAACAGATATGAGAGTTTGGGGTTTGTGTTGTCATTTGTCCAGCAGTTAGTGTTTGTTTTTGGGTAAAAATCTTTGAGTTAAACAAAATTAGAAAAAGAGCACATACAAGGAACTCTTAAATGTGTTCCTGTTTAATGTGTTACTTTTACACTTCTGTTCCTCTGAGCAGGCTGTGGAGCAGTTGTGCTTGTAAGAGCCAGTGAGCAGTACTGGTTTACATGGGCCTGCTGAAGGTGTCCTCCATGTTCTTAGAGGTGGATTGAGCAGTGTCTCTGTTCTGTCCCTTGACGAATCAGATTTACCTGTGGGGGATTGTTGTGCACCAGTCCTGACCACATAATGTTACCAAGTAAAACAACTGTTACGTGAGTCTGAGTGTGAGAGATGAATGTGGGATGGAGTGGTCATCATTGTGATTAATTAGTACTTAAAATACATCTACAGCAATGTGAAATAGTCTCTCAGTTTTTGTATTTAACTGGCAAGAGATTTTTTTTTATGCCATGCTATGCTGTTGGACTCTAGGAGGGAGCTGTGTGTTCAGATGTGGAGAAAATACTGCTGAGTTGTTTCATGCTATTTTATGATAATGCCTTCTGTACTTGAAAATATAAAATTAGAGAAAAGCAATACCATTCTTAGAAGATTTTCTTAACGACTCATTGTGCCATTGGTTTATAAATGTGCAAGCAACTGAATTTCTTTTTATTTTAGTGGGTGCTTAGTGCAGAACCTTTTGCCATAGTGACAGTCACATGTCAATGAGTGCATCTAGAAAGAAACACGTGATGGAGCTGTTGGTTGTGTGCAGTGTACATGCCTGGTGCTTGTATGCCCAATAAAGGGTGGAAGTAACAATAATTTGTACTAGAAAAGTGATGAATTGATGTTTCTTCTTTCTTTCACAACAGAGAATATGAAACAGGAGCCAAAATGACATCCCGATTTGGAAAGACCTACAGCCGGAAAGGGGGAAATGGCAGTTCCAAGTTTGATGAAGTGTTTTCCAACAAACGGACCACCCTTAGTACAAAATGGGGAGAAACCACCTTCATGGCCAAATTAGGACAGAAGAGGCCCGGTGTCAAACCAGATATTTCTGAAGTTCCTAAGAAACCCAAAGTTGAAGATGAGGTAACAGAGGATCCATTTGGATTTGACAGTGATGAAGAATCTCTTCCTGTGTCTTCAAAGAATGTGTCACAGGCTAAAAGTTCCTCTCAGCTGGAACCTGGTGAAGCTGCTCAGTCTGAGGACTTCACTCCTCTACTTGAAGCAAACAGCAGAATTAATCAGCCAGACGGTGGAGAAAACGTTGCCTCCAGCAAGTGCATACCTCTTGACAATACTGTTCCTCTCTTGAAAGAAAAGAGCACAAGCAAAAGTGTGGAAGATGGAGAATGCAAGGGCAGCAGTGCTAAAGTTGTAACTGCAGGTGTGTTTGCTCAATTGTCCATATACTTCTGTTTTCCTCTGATTTTTGCTGATTGCCCTTTAAACTTTGTGTTCTCAAGGGATTGTTAAATATTCTGATAAAACTGAAGTATTCTGTGGTGTAGTTCTTAATTGTAAACAATTGTAGAGGATACTCTGTGTAACCAAAAGCACTAAGAAGCATTCTGCATTTTACACACTGCTCTGAGGTCTTTTGCACTGTAATCTGTGTGTCGGCAGATAGAGGTACAGTGCTTCAGCTTCAGTGCAGTATGGTACTCCACTTAGTCCAGTTATTCCATAAAATGGAATAATAACATTCCTGTTCTAAAATTGCTGAGTGCATTTGTGGTTTTTAAACACTTATTTTGAATAGTGATGAGTTAGTGGTAGTAGTATTTAGTGTGGGTATGTGTTCACAACCATGAAGGTGCAGATAAAGCTTAAGCCATGTTTTGTTTCATTATTTGGGTGGGAAAAGTAGTTTTCTGAACTTCAGCAGTACAAACATTTTCTGTTTGTAATTAGCACAGCTATATCAGTGTGTGCATAAAAAACTTCAGACCTGTGAGATTGCATTCTGTCAGGCTTCCTTTTAGAGGTGTTTTTGGGCTCTGGAGTGTTTGTAAGATAGCTTTAATGCTTTTCAGAGGGGCGTTCACAAGACTCATGGAGCTGAACACCACTGTAATTTTCTTCAAGTCGTTCTTGGAAAAAATCGGATATTACATCTCATGAGAGGTGTTTGTATAATGGGCTGATTAAACCACAGCTTCTATAATTGGGTAGACGATCACATTAGGTGAACCTAGATGAAGATGACACCTACTGACTTGCTCTGGGTTATCAAAATCAATTTTAATGAGAAGAACTTACATAACTTTAATTTCTCAAATATAGTAACCCAGGGATTAGAAATTTGAATGGACTTGTTCAGTTGTTAAAGCAGTAAGCAAGAATATACTAAATAGTAGAAGATAGTCACAGTTCAGTTATTTTTTGTATATATGTTAGGGATCTAAGTCAAGAAAACCCAGGAAATGCTGATTTGAGCTATAGTTTGACAGACACATTTGTAGGATGTGTAATTGTCTTTTGATCTTGCTCTTTATTTTTGCTGCTAAAATACTTCTTACTTTCATATGATTTTCAGCAGCTGTCTTTATGATTCATCCTCAGAATGGAAATAAAAATTACGGGATTTTAAAGTTTGAATATAGTTTTCACAAGAAATTGAGTTAGTTCATCCCCCAGTATTTCTAAGGGGAAGAAATAGTGAATTTACTTGGTGTTAATGAGAGATTGTAGTAGAACAGGTTTTACAGTGAAATGGTTTCCTTGTAGACAACCTCTGTCAGAACAGTATTTCTCAGGTTGGAAAAGAGAGAGATGTGGGGAGAAAATGTGATAGAGCTCTGAAAATTCATAGTGTGTGAAAGGCCAAGAGGAACAAACTTGAACAGTTTCATTGGTGCTTCCTGGTCCGAGTTCTGTGGAAAATAATAAAATACAATATTTAGCACAGAAAAACATTTAAATTGTAGAACTCCTTGCTAGACAATACTGTGTATGTCATAAATATACAGCTCTGAACAGAAGGAAGCTGATGAATCTGGGTGGATAAGTCCATCCAGTTTTTAAGTGTGGTGGTGGTCTGAATGCAGAGGGGGAGGTTACTTAAATAACAGTTTACTGAAGGAGTTCTGTTCTGCAAGATTTCCTGAAGAATTTATTACTGATTCTGGCAGTTCAGCCAGAAGTAGTGAAGGACAAGGTGTATCTTGGTCAGATGGTTCTGTTCTTTCAGAGTCTGTTGCATTCTGTTGACACCCGATCAAATGAAGATAGAAACCCTTCTCATATATTTCTTTAGAAATGAAATTTAGCTGTGAATGAATCTTTGCAGAGCATCCTAGGAGGGTCTTTGGTTTCCTCACCCTTATTTAAAAGCTACAATCTTGGTGGTAGTGTTTCTTTTTGTCAGTTAGTGTAAGTTAAACTTGGATGGCTTAAGCTGCAGGTATGCTTATGTGTAAACTGATCCAAAATAAATAAAAGTTGTCTCTGAGGACATTGCTCAGCACACTGAGCAATTAGAGATAGTGGTGTATAGTCAGCCAGTGTAAATGTAGGTACTTCAAAGGCTTCTTTGTTGTAGTGACTGTTCAGTAAGGTTTGATGGGGAGGCTCTTTCAAAACTACAGAGAGTTAGTTTGATTGATTTGGAGTAGGGTTCTGAAGGATGAAGGGACTTTGGAGGAGTGTAATAGTGTATGTACTTCAACTGTTTGCGTGTCCTTGCCCTCCCCATAATAATTTTTTCCTTCCTGGTGACTCTTGAACTCCACCAGGTTCAACCAGATTTGTCCAAAGGGTTTATGGATCCTTGAAACAGCAAGCTTGACTATTCCTGATGTGGCAAGGAAGGGGCGGGGGGCTGGGAGGAAAAGCAAACAGGTAAAAGAACATTAATATTCCCAGTGTAAGGAAGACTGCAATGTGAGCTCAACATTAACCCACATACAGCACTGTGTCTCTAGTTGTGGGAAACTAGACTGTGTTGGTACTGATGTTGAAGAAAGTGCTTAATAATTGGTTTTAAAGTGCAGTTTGCTAGTCCTTGTCCTCATGTTGCCTAGAGAGTGCATGAGTAAAGGTCTCGGGACTCCCAGAGAACATGACCCATCATTGTGTCTTAATTCTTAATGTGGGTGAAGAAAATGGTACGAGTTAGACTGAGTTGAAAAAAGTGACTTACCATGGCTATGCACAATCTGAGAAGTACAGTTAATTCTGCTCCATTTGTATTATCCTGCCTCAGTGGCCATTTCTTTGGGCATTAAAATGAAGGTGATGCTATGTCAGTTAATTTTAGCTAATGTTTGGTATTAAAAAGCACTTGATTTGGGGATTTGTTTTAGTAGTTGTGCAGCCATGTAACACAGTTGAGGATCTGTATATTAAAAATGGTAGAACTTGCTGGTTTTGTTTTTTTTTTTTTAAATAGCCTTCAGCTAGTGCTTGTAACAATCTCATTTTAAAGGCTTTGAGAAGCTCTTAATGTGGAAAGCTTCTCATAATCTTTCCCTAATGTTGCTTGATCAAGACTTAATACTGTCTGAAGAGTGTCTGTGAGTAATCCTGTACGTAGTAGGTAATTTGCAGATAGGGGTTTAGGTAAGTTTGAAACAATAAAGGACTGTTCAGTATTAATAGTTACTGTTAGGTCATCTTTGTGAAGGTAGGGAGAACTTGGTAGCTAAAAAGTAAGTTGTGTCATTAGAAAAATATCACACTGGTAATGCATATAAAGCAAAAATGCAGCTATTTAGAAAATTAGGTTTTTATGAAACAGTCTTACAGTAGGGTGAGGTGAAAACCTTCAGAACAATATATGGATTTTTGAAACAGTCTGGTGGGATTTATTTTCTTTTTAACTGTTAAACTTTTCTGTAAGTATAAACCCAAATAGTATTTCACACAAACTTTGGTATAAAAACATGGCCATGCAGAGCAGAGTTTGTTTGCTCTTTTAGAATATTTGTTAGCTTGTAGGATGAATTAATGTACCATTTTTCAGATAATAATTAATGTCAAAGTTTGATGAACTTTAGGAGTTGGTATGGCATTTCATAGTTATATTAGTGTATCAGTACGCTTTACTTTGAACAGCTAGTTTGCCTGCTCTGGGTATTTCAGTTTATGGAAATACTTCTGGCATTGTAGTGCGAGTTTGCATTTTGACTCTGGATGCTGTGATGATCTGCTGGCTTTTGCTTTTGTGCACACTGCTGAGCTCTAACTCAGGCCTTGGGAGGATCTGAAGCAAGGGGTTGATAGTCTCCATCAGAGAAAGCACTTGGATTGAAAGATGTTTCTCATCTCTGCGTCCTTCATGGTCTGGTTTATGGACTACAAGAGAATATTCCTTTTCTGCATTAATTCTAAGTGAAAAAAATTAGGCATTTAGAATTTAATTAGGCATTAAGTGGAGAAGTATTTTAATTGGATGTTGATTAAGTCTGGTTTGTTTTAGAGCCTATGAATTTATTTCTTCAAAATACGTTTTGCTTGCTCTGGAGAAATAGAATGGCTTAAAATATCTTTCCAGACTACAGAACGGTGTAGGAATTGTGTCCTTTCTGCTGTGTTGTAATGTTAAGTACAGATTTTGTGGTTGTTGTGTGGGCAGTGACCTTTGAGGAGGCTCTTTAAGAGTCAAAGAACAAATTATTTTTTCCCCCCTAACAGAGCAATAATGAAAACAGCTATTCCTCATCTTGTCTTTTGTTCCTATGTACTGATATTCAAACAGGTTTTGCTCTGGCAGGAGTTTTGCTCTTGGTGCTGTAAGAGAGCATTTGTCTGTTGACTGCTGTTTGATTTTCTTTTTCTAGATAGTTCTTAATGTCCTCATTTTTCACATGGGGCCAGTGCAGCTAGCAAATCAAAATGGCAAGTGTGGTTCTTAAGAGCGTGTGCTTATGCAGTGCAGGAGCAAAGGGATATGGCTGTGCTGAGCTGTGTCTTGGCCCAGGATGCAGGATCTGGCTGTGGTTGGTTGTTGGAAAAGCACTGAGTGCAGAGAGTAAATTGCAGAAAATGGATGCCCTTGAAGAAGGAGATGATTTTAAGTCATCAAGTCTGTTCCTGACATCCTATCCTGGTAGTACCTTAGTGACTCTGTGCAAAGCCTCTGCATCCTGCTTATGTGGGTGGGGAGCCCTATCTTTAGAGTAAAGTTTCAACTTCCCAAGTGCAGCTTTGTTACATAATTGCATTGACCACCAGATTGGTCAGGGTATTCCTTTCAAATTGTTTTTAGACTTCTGTTTTGTGTTTGACACTGACATGGACATTGAACATAATAGTTAGGCCAGAGAAATATCTTACTTCCTCTGAGTTTTTGAGAGTAATATTTACTTTGTGAGAATTTGTTTAGCCATTTTCCATCCAAAAATGGAGCAGAGCTGGGGGAACCTGAATGAGGCCTGAACATTT